AACACAGGACTCAAATGAAATCCAACGGCCGGTCATGATGTCAATGTGGTTCCCCATCAACCCAGTCTGAGGGCTTCGTGCGGCAAACAATGCCTCGGAGGCACGCCGGGCGGCTCGCTCATACCTGTCGTCGCCAGTGAGGCCCGACAAAGCGGTCATCTCCACCAAAAAGGTGCCACCATCAGCAGTGCTGGTGGTCGTTGTCTCCGTCGGATCCAGACCGTGCCGGAGGTTAACTGCTATGTACGGTATGCCGGTGCTGGTGTTAAAGCAAGGGAGAAGCCGGTTGCCCAGGTCCACAGCAAGACGCATGAGCCCACCCGTGTAGTTGTGCTCCGAGGCGACGATCTCCACCACGCCTTCCTCATACATAAAATGCGCCGCAAGAAGTCCGCCAAGTGCCCGAATCGTCGTCTCAAACACAGACACAGTGATGTCAATGTCAAAGCTCACATTCTCCTCCACCCACCTCGCGTAGCGACGAAATTCCGTGTGGAACCCAGCGACCGCCAGCGTGTCGAGCGCATCGATCAGCGTCCACCCGTAGCCGCCCATGGTGTTCTTCCCTGCCCCGTTCACCGGGCGTAACTCGTCCTTCGGGAAGGCATACTTAATGTAGGAGTTAAAGGCGTGCCCTATCATCTCGCGCACGTAGGGCCGCATTTCGGCCTCAATGGGGTGCAAGGCATCGGTGCTGCGCCACGCACCGCCACCCTCTCCCTCATCCTCGCCCACACCTCCACCGGGCCCCCCACCACGCACGCACACGGCCGTCACCAGCAGCAATGCTACCAACAAACAAATGCATGCCGCGGGCCCAGGGCCCTTTTTACCGCCTCCCCCAGAACACATAAATATGCACTTTGCACACTATCTACGCACCCTCACAAAAAAGAAAGCCAGAAAAGAAGGAGCAGTAGCACACACATTTTGACGAGGCAGTGCGTCGTTTCCGGAAAAAAAAACACCATGCCCCGACACGCGCAACCAGTCACACTACTTATTCGCAACACCACACCAACACACACCACAAAAGAAAGAAAGCAGAAAAAATTTCCGGGCGGCTGGCCGAATCCTGAGTTTCTCAATCATAGAAAAAAAAACAGATAAGAATGAGAAAGGGATCAACGGAATAAGAATGGATCCATCATATTCTCAAAGTTTAGCAACAAGTAAGTGTATATATGTGTATATACATCGTCCATTAGCCACAGTTGTGGCCCGCTCACCCTATTCGGATGCGATACATATATATTTATTACTTATTTATTACTTACGAAGTGGCAGACTTTGGGATCCTCCAGACACAAGACCCCGCCGCTCCCCTTCGCCAAGTCCTGAAGTGTAAAAACACGACCGCGTGACATGCCGTCTGCGGGGTTTTCCGCAGACCGCACGTAGGCAAAGGATACCTGTATTCCGCGAGAGTCCAAAAACTCATATATCCGTTGCAGCTCCCACGTCATGGCGTGTGATTGTGAGCTGCCTTTATTCGCCGCTCCTTGCAGCGAAGTGTTGTCCACCCAAACGTCCATGGTGGACGGCAAGATGGCGGAAAGGCCGATAAGGCCAAGCGTACCGCGCATGCCTCCGCCTGCATGATAAGAAAAGGCTTCCCCCATTTCCCTCCGGCAAGTTTAATGTCGCCGGAGTATGGAATGATAACGGCTCCCCATCCACAAAACAATGCATTTGTGATGATGGCGGCCACTGCCTTTTCCGTGGGCTCGATGATTCGCTTACGATTATATTCTCGATGCTGTGTCGTAATCTCTCGCCCAAACCAACCGCTGCTGGTGGAAGGTCTGCCGGGGATGTCTCCAGCACAATCCCCCGGTAAAGTGCCGATAATCGTCGTCGCACTGCCTTGATGAAAAAGTAGCAGTCAAATAAACGCCTGAACAAAAATGGCAGACGCGTACAAAAAGCGTGACGCCACAACCTCCATTTCCGCGATGGTTAAATACTTCAGCGACGGCATGGCGCATACACACCGGACAAACTTCTCACTCAGGGACACCGCCCGGTGAGTGTGATCAAACCGCACCCACAGAAAGATGTACCGCGTGGCGCCCGATTCGCGATCCTCCCATATCGTAGCGTGACGGCCATCCGCATCACAAAGCACCTGGGCTTCCCACAATGTCACATCGCTTATCGACCCCTGCAATGCGTACATCATCAATCCATACGTCGATACGCAACAATGGAGGTGCAGCCCGGAGGCGGTGAGCCACCGTCGTCACCCCCGCAATTGCCGAAGTAATAATAATCTGGAGAATTTCTGGGCCGGCCTTTTATCCCACTGAGTGCCGTGTGGGCTCCACCAGCGTGCCGTCCTCCACGCGGCATCGAAAGAGATGCCGAGCCCCCGCAGCAACAAAGACCGGAAAAAGGATGCCTTTAATTCCACGCAGAAAGCGGCCTCAGCCATCACAGGTGACAATTAATGGGAAATGTGTAAAAGAGGAACATTCGCCTCGTAAGGGTCGTCTCTCTTCTCGTCGCGTGGCCACGCGATCCATCGTCGTCGCAAACCGGTGGTTTTCTCCTCCACCACAGAAAAGGCTTTACCCATCCGCCGCTTGTTACTGTGGAAGAAGCGTCCACGATTATTCCCGCTTCCTTCATTAATCGCGCGTCAGCGACTGGAACCCTCCGTGAGCCTTCGCGCGTTACCGGAGGAGGATAAAGGTAAAGGGGACCGCCCGACGTGCCCACATACTTGCATGAGTCTCTCCAAGGTAGCCGGTTGAACCGGCTCTGGATCCACTCCAGATTCAATACGGGCACATTGACTTGTTGCTGTAGCGGGATGGTTCGTTCCTCTCGTGGAATGGCCAGACGCTTCCTTGTCGTGCGTCTTGTAATGGCAGCGGCGCAATACTAAAAATCATGGAAAAACGCTTCTCCGCTCTCAGCCAGGGCTCCTGCCCTTCCGCAGCTTCTCCCTTCACATCAATGCGACCAGCGGCAACACCTGGGTCAGCATTGTGGTGTACCTCCCCAAATATCGAACTGTGCTCTGGGGAAGGTCGAACGGGTCGACGTGCACCGCCAACGGCGAGATCACGTGTGGGTCAAAATCGTGTGTCTCCACGATTGGAGCAGCGTGCCTCAACGCACCGCGTTCTATGGAATGCGCCGTGGCATTCCAAGGAGCCAGAGCTCATTCGACTTTGGCAGTCGTAATATTCGTGAGCTTTTCGTTTTCTTGAAGTGTCCTGCATAACTTTATAATGTCGAACACGTCCTGCCCTCGTATCCTCACGAACCGAAAGGCGCGGTGGGGATCCGCCCTCGCCGTCCTCGGCGCCACGGGCCAATCCAAAATGAAGGTCCCGTCCGGCTCCAGCGTGAAATTTTTGGGAGTTAAGGCCGCAATCTCGGACCAACAGCTCGCCGTTATCCACGCAAGTCGTACGACAGCACGTTGCTTCCAATCGGTCCGGCTGCGGATATATTGATCCATCCCTTCCTTTGTCAAGGGGCGCGCCTGCTTCGCCTCTT